CCATCAGATTTCCATTGGTGCCTGTGTAATAGTAATAGCTCTCTCAAAGTTTTTAACGAGAGAAACAAAACTGGGGTAGTGCTACCCTACCAGATTACATTGACTGCTGTGCTATAGTGGTGGGGTACAACGAGAGCTTTTCGTAATGTAATAATGCCCCTGCCACAAGTTTTACATACATCCACTCACTCGCACGCGCTCCCACACACTTACACACACACACACACGGACACGCACACAGAGCAAATGCAAACACCATAATCGTACTCCCAAACCAACACAGTGCATCAACCTACATTGCCAACTCATTGCAGATGAGGTGATGTACTTCTGGCCAATGATATATCGTGCAGGGAGGTGGATAGTGGAAGTATTTTCTGTAGAGCATGTAGTAAGCAGAAAGTCTACATTATAGGCCTACTGACAGGAGTCATTCACTGCATTGAAAAACTATAAAAACTTAATCTCTGTGAATATCAATCAATCATATCATGATTGAAAATAATCATTATATTTTCAGATATAACAAGTCTAAGACTCTAACATGGCCACAGCAGCAGGGATTAATCATATTCATGATCTGTCTATCGATGACATGGATTTTCATTCAGGCAGTATTTATGAGTGAGTTACTACAAGATTTATTGCAACTAAGTCTGCATGATGTAGACCTAGCAGAAGCACCAGTATGTATTGCTGCCAGTACTCCCAAGAAAAAGCAAAAATTTGCTCCCTCGACTTCACTCAGTCAGGACGATTTGTCTATTGATGGTATGGATATATCACAATTGAGTCTTGATGATGTATCTTCTGAAAATCATCAAGTTGGCGCTAGAAAACAACATGGCGATCTCTTCACTCATCATGTGGATGAATATTCATTCAATGAATCAGACACTGCTCATCATCAAGAATTTGTGCAACCACCATTGTGTAACATCGGAAACACCCTTCTTGTGATTACAAAAAATTATTTGATTTGAAAGGCCTGATTTGTGATTTGACTTGTGTTAAAACTTATAATAACTTATTTCAAAACAATTTATTCACTCTAGATACCCTTAAAGATGGATTATCATCATTTAATTGGGTTTCTTTGCTTTGGACATTGCGGAAAATTGGTTTTAACCATAAAATAGTATTGTAATAATGTGTTGCAAATTTTTTGTTTTGGTGGGTAGCTGCCATGTGATGTTAACAAAATGTTAGGATAGATATGTCCTGCAGTTCATATATTTTCTACTACTTTAAATTCAAAGTTGTTTCGGAAGTTACAAAATCGTTTACAGAAAATTTGAGACAACTTTTTCAAATTTTGAGTATTTTTCGAATATTAGCGCTACTATAATTAAATTATATTTTCCTTCAATATAATCACTTGGAGTAACTAATAAGCTCATTCAAACCATATACAATCTCATTAATTTATTGTTCTTGTGGGTTAAATGAGGGTCTACATTGTTTACGGAAAATGTAACGTCCGAAGCACCATTTTCAATTGCTCTGTTCCATTAAAATACAGGAGTTGAATCAGATTACTGTTATTTTTCTTTAAGATCCACCCATGCTCATTAATCATCAATAGAAAGAAGAAAACAAATTGTTTGTTGCTATATATTTTTTTCAGCTCAAACCAAAATGGTATGTCAATTTTGTTACAAAATTCTGTAAACAATTTGCTGCTCAGGGATACCTCATGCATATAAAGCAACATTTTTTTATTAAGCTATGGCCTATGGGAGGTCAATCTAGGTCCATGCTACAAGAAAAAGTTGTAACTGATGTCTAATTCTTTATCTTTGAAAAGTTTCAGGCTCTCAAAGGGCCATTTAGCTATTTTGTCATAGTTTTAAAAAAACAACAGTACCATGCATATACACAAGGAGAGTATCTTTTTAGGGGGGAGGTAATGGGGTCAATGCCTGATAGTGATAGTCTTGTATTTCAGGCAGTGATAGTGTTATCAGTGTTAATATCTCACAAAAACCTCTGTTTAAAAGAGGAAGCATTAAAAAAGAAAATGGCGGCTGGTTTTGTGTAGAGCCCTCTATACCAAAACTGAACTATCCCTTGAAGAGAATACATGTAGTTTCTAAACTAAAATATACATTATAATCTTGTGCAGCCACTCACTTGGCATTCGTGCCTCTTGTATATTAGTGACAAAGATGTTCAAAGACAACCTTGAACATTGATCTCAAAAGCTCTCAATATTGTGATTGTTTATAGACATACCATGCAAAAAGCTGTACCAATTTTATTGAGATTTCAGAGTCTTGATGGGAATGGTTTCCAAAACTTGGCCTATCGGCATATAATGCATGTGTTCGTTTATGATATTTAATAAGTTCACAGTGTCGATATGCATTGAATAGTCATGAATTGTCTGAATGAAATATACTGCACAGCATAATTCCTATAGGTTTGGGTAATTCTAATTATAGGCATTATTGTGCATGTAGGTAAATGTATAAAACAAAGTGGTTGTAGTTTGTTATAGTCTGTTATTCCACACGCGATGAATTGTATGCAATTGTTTTGTACCTAAATAATGATCCTTTCATGTCATTCACAAATTACATTTCCACACGACAAATATTTTGCAATTTGTCATACCCATGATATGTTAAAAATGGGCTGGAAGTTATAACCAGTACGTAGCCTTCATTGATCTTGAATTAAAGCATCTTCAATATTTATAATATGTCAATTGTATTGACTTTGAATACATACAGTATTTCTGTTCACATATTATTTATACATATTTACAATGATTCTTAATAGCCATTGACAGTGCTGTAATGAGCAAACAATTTTTGGGGTCAGAAGAAAGTCTTCATCCATTCATCACCAGGTATAGCATAATGGCAAGATTGGCAGGGTTGCAAACTTAGAGCTTGAGACTTTGTGAGGGAGTGAAGCAACTGAGCTGGGGGTTGGGGGTTGGGGGGGGGGGGGTGGGTGAGGGCAGGGTCCGAGGATGTTTGAGCGGTGTCTCCCTCTCCCACGATAGGGAGATTTTGCATTTTCTTCTTAATAATGTGCAATCTGGTCCATACCGGTCCTACAATTCAGTTATATGTGGTTAAGTGCATAATGATTTTACCGATTGTGATCAAGTTAAACTTTTGTCATGAAGAAAACGTAATTATATATACCAAAATATGCACGCCAAGAATTAATGTTCATGCCCATTTAAAGCATAACACCACATATACTTATGATACAACAACATGAACAAGATATACCAGATGCAGACAAGACCGATTCCCGAGGGAGCATAGAGACCAAGTGACAAGAGGTGTGTTTGGAGGGGAGGGGAAAGAGTGTCTGCCCCTGCACAGTAAATGAGCTTTTGCAATTCTGTTGCACACCTGGGAAGGAAATTTGGCTTGAAATGAAGTAGAATCTGAGTTATAGAGTCTAAAAAAATACTCCTTTTTTTCAAACACTGGTATCAAATTAAGACATGTTTTATTATTATTGGGGGGGGGGGACACTTTTTTTCTTGACAAACCTTCGTAAGAGTAAAGTATGGTGAATGAGGAACCTTGATAAGAGTGAAGTGTGGCAATCGACGAACCTTAGTTATAGTCAAGTGTGGCGATCGACAAACCTTGGTCAAAGTAGAGTGCGGCGACCGACAAACCTTGGTCAGAGTAGAGTGTGGCGATCGACGAACATAATAGTCAAGTGAGGCGATCGACAAACCTTGGAAAGATCAAGGTGTGGCAATCGACGAACATTGGACAGAGTAAAGGGTGGCGATCGACGAATCTTGGTAATAATAAAGTGTGGCGATCGACAAACCTTGGACAGTTCAAGGTGTGGCAATCGACGAAACTTGGTAAGAGTAAAGTGTGGCGATCGACGAACCTTGGTAAGAGTAGAGTGTGGCTATCGACGAACCTTGGTCAGAATAAAGTGTGGCGATCGACAAACCTTGGATAGATCAAGGTGTGGCAATCGACGAACCTTGGTCAAAGTAAAGTGCGGCGATCGACAAACCTTGGAAAGAATTAAGTGTGGCAATCGACGAACCTTGGTCAAAGTAAAGTGCGGCGATCGACGAACGTTGGGAAGAATAAAGTGTGGCAATCGACAAACCTTGTACAGATCAAAGTGTGGCAATCGACGAACCTTGGTCAAAGTAAAGTGTGGCGATCGACAAACCTTGGACAGATCAAGGTGTGGCAATCGACGAACCTTGGTCAAAGTAAAGTGCGGCGATCGACGAACGTTGGTAAGAATAAAGTGTGGCAATCGACGAACCTTGTACAGATCAAAGTGTGGCAATCGACGAACCTTGGTCAAAGTTAAGTGCGGCGATCGACGAACGTTGGTAAGAATAAAGTGTGGCAATCGACGAACCTTGTACAGATCAAAGTGTGGCAATCGACGAACCTTGGTCAAAGTAAAGTGTGGCGATCGACAAACCTTGGACAGATCAAGGTGTGGCAATCGACGAACCTTGGTCAAAGTAAAGTGCGGCGATCGACGAACGTTGGTAAGAATAAAGTGTGGCAATCGACAAACCTTGTACAGATCAAAGTGTGACAATCGACGAACCTTTGATGGATACTTGCAAGAACAATATTCTATAACGACAAAGGTAAGGACCATTATTTTCTGTAACCCAAGAAATTTGGTTCTATTTGAGTGAAAAAGTATTATTTTAGACCATCTGAAATTGCATGAAACGGTCCATTTTTTTAGACTTTTTTGGAAAGTCTACTTTTTTTTTGGAATGGGTTATGTATATACAGTGAAACCTGTCTATAAAGACCATCAAAGGGAGACAGGAAGAGTGGTTTTGATTGACATGTGGTCTTTATGAACAGGTTCCTTTAGGTCATATTTCAATGAGCACCCATTTTCAAAGGAAATCAACAAAATGTGGTCATTGTAGACAGGTGGTCTTTCTAAACAGGTGGTCACTAAAGCAGTCCTGACTGTATATATATTGTGATTGGTGTAGTAAAGAGAAACAAGAGACTCACTTAGGGTCTCCAATGTAAGAGAGTTGGGCAGGACGGACACCAAAATGAACGACGACAGGAAAGGTCTTCTTATCTGGATTCATCTGATCTCGGTCAAGCTGATCAATGCGTATCGATGACGGTTTCTGAAGAAAAAGGTAATGAAAATTGAGAAATCTTTCAAAACGTTGGTTTATGAATGAACATAGTACCGGTAGATATCTGAAAGTTCTTCTAAAAGCTCCATGAATTAAAAAGATGATTATCTACACCACATTCAATCATTATTATTGTCAAGTAATCAATCACTTGAGATGCTTGCTAAAAAAGCACTCCAGCAGCATATACCAAGTAAAATATATTTGCTGTTACTTCATGCATGTGCATAACATTGTCTAAATATCTGAGTAATATAGAGAAGACATGAAAAACAATTATTGTATTACACAGTCAACAACTAAACATACCATTACCAAGTTATATAATTTGTTATGTATGTGAAAAATTCATTTGTCCCGATTTATGTTTCTTAAAGTTTACATCTTAAAGTATTCAATAAAAGGCCTAATTCAATCAGTCCATCTTTCATTCTTAATTTACAAAAAACAAAAAAAAACATCAAACTTACAATGTGTATGAATAAATTAGTTGTAAACTGCATATATATATATATATACTCAAATTTATTCATCAACTACTCTGTTACGGTAAAATCAGTTTTAAGTAAACAAACCTGACTTTTGATTTCTATCTCAAACAAATGCATATCACATTCCTTTAAGTGTCCATTTACTCATCTATAAAACAAAAGATAAAACCCTCAAATCACAAATCAACAGTCCTTATTTCATATTTGTTCACCTTCCCTGGGCGTGTGGCAATCATATGCTGAAGCTTATCCACATATCTCTGCCAAGCGGTCTCGCTGACCGCCAGCCAGTCGTCCAGCTTGGCCGGATCTATGATGGGCTTGTTACTGCGGATCAGGTACTGGATCACGTGGTGCATGGAGAGGATCTCCTTGCCGTTGTTGGGAAGGAGGCGGGCAAAGCGAGGCATGAAATGGAAGTGATGGCATCCATTCTCTTTTCCTGTGCGAATCAAAGGCATCGTTTAACAATGTTAAATCTGAGATGGGTGGCTCTACGTGTTATCAGTGTCTGTGATATGGTGTTATATTGAAGACCTAATAAATTGGGCTTCAAAATGATCATGAAGTGCCTCAAAAAAGTAAAAATCTTTGAGAGACCAGCTTTACCATACACATTTTCCCCTATAGACTGTAGAGTTATAAAACAAGGGAAACGCTCTCGGCGGTCTCGCCTGCATAACGCAATTCAATATGATAAACCAGAACGTCAATGACGTAGCGCTCATCCGCATCTCGCAACAACAAATATCCTAAATTTTATGTGGTACACTTTTGAACTGGTCAAAAAATAAAAATTTGATGCCCTGGAAGGTACATAATTTCATTTCATTTGCAATAAAGTACCATAAATAATCAATGAAGCAAAATCTCACAATTCTGTGTAGAAGTTTAGTGTTCCAAATTTAGCTCTACCAGATAAGGCAAACCAAGTCAAAATCGGTCAAGAAATGGGAAAAGAAGCAATTTTTGTTATTTTTGGAATAAATTTTGCATAAATTACCATAATTAATTAATGGAGAACAATTTCAAAATTCTGTGTAAATGTTTAGTGTACCAAAGTTAGCTCTACGATATAAAGCAAACCAAATAAAAATCGATCTAGAAATGAAGGAGAAGACGCCTTTTTTGTGATTTCGAATAAATTTGCATAAATTAGCATCGATAGTGAATTTCACGATTCTGTGTAGAAATTTTAAATCCCCCTCCTAGCCCTATCATATGAAACAATCAGAATCAAAATCGGTTGAAAAATAACGAAGAAGAAGCATTTTGAAAATCTTGATGTTGATGCCACAACAAAGTCTAAGTTTGTTGACCTTAAATGACCTTTGACCTTAACTTAGTCACCTGAAATTCTACTAACATGATTGGGGAGACTTGATAACCCTATAGTCCAAGTTTCATTGACTAAGAACTTATACTTTCAAAATTATATCAAAAATTCAAAAACTTAACCTTAGGTTAAGTTTTCAATGATGATGCTACAACATAGTCCAAGTCTGTTGACCTGAAATGACCTTTGACCTTGACTTTGTGATCTGAAATTCTACTCACATGATTGGGGATACTTGATTACCCCATAGTCAAAGTTTCATTGACTAAGAACTTATACTTTTAAAATTATATCAAAAATTCAAAAACTTAACCTTAGGTTAAGTTTTTGATGTTGACGCCGCCGTCGCCGTCGCCGTCGCCGCCGTCACCGGAAAAGCGGCGCCTATGTCTCGCTTTTTTGCTACGCAGGCGAGACAAAAACCGTTAGGAAAACGAAAAAAAGTTGATTTCCAATCATAAATATCTTGATAATCAGACAGGCAATCAGCTTGTAAAAGTCATGGGATTCCTGACTGACCTAAAGGTTTATATAATTATGATTGCAGCATGAGCCAAATCTAAGATTTTGTTTCAGAATCTGAGACAAAGTACCGAGTCACTTTAAGAGAAGAGAAAGAGGGTAAAGAAAATGGTAGGAGGCTCAAAGGCTTCTTTTACGATACCATCTGCTAAGAGTGCGAAGGGCATCAGAACACATACTATAACTCACAGTTAATGTATACCGTACCTGTTATCCAAAAATCTACAAAAAACAACAGTTTTTTCATAATTCTAATTATGGAATGATCAGTAGTCTTATGCACAGGATTTGACAATCTTGATCTTTCATTCTCCATCCAGATTCGCATTTGGTTCAGCCTAACACATTATGCTTATTTGCCTCACCCCTCAAATCTTGAAGAAAACAGGGAAACCATTTAAACCCTACATTTGAATAGATGGTTATTGAAAACCACTTGAAACCTAAATTGAACTGAATATTAGTGGATTTAGTGCAATATGCAATTATGATTACATTGCATCTGAATTAACATAAGCACTCACCTTTAAAATCAAAATCCCAAAGTTCCAGGATTTCCTCAAACAAGAACCTTGCAAATAAATCCAAGCCTTTCACCGTAAAGTGCTGAAGGATTTTTGATGAATAAACAGAAATGAGATATTACACCCTAAAATTCATATACAGTATAAAGACCAAGTTATTCTCTACAATCATTAAATTAATAAGCCTAACAAAAGTCTTTCTGTGTGATACTTGTATTCTACACATAAAAACAACTTGTGTTATAATTTTCACTTATTATTCACAAAGGATTGCATCTGTGACTACTGTGGACCTAAAGAGGTTTACTACTAGTTGCTTGAGGTCTTTTGACCAACTAGATTCAATCAAAAAAGAAGCTGATGAATTTCAGTTATACCTCAGGCAGAGGCTCTGGGAAGAAGTGAAGGGTGTACTCCCGGCCAAAGCGGACCACCTTACATTCGGGTACTTCATCCAAAGAGTGATGCGAGAAGAGAGAGAATCCTTCAAAGATGTATTCTCGTTTGTCAAAGACAATGACCGTCTGAGTCGTGGTCTGAAATATAAAAACCCAAAACAGATCGTTAGATTTACACCGTAAATACATGTTTCATGAGCCTGATGTAAATATAATGGTACAAGTATGAACAGTCCAAAGAGAACTTGCAAATGCGACATTAACATGACAGAACTGGGATTCGTAAGAGTTAGGAACGTGCACCAAAGGCCTGACTGCCCAATCGTGAAGCCAGGTGTACAAAATAATATACTGTAAAAGTTTAAATATTTGTGATACATTAATTTTCGCAGATTTTGTGCTAAGATTGGCAAACGCAAATTTTAGAACTCGTGAAAAAATAAGCATGACTTCTTTTGCGTGTTGTGAACGGGCTAAATTGCGTGCAACGCAAAGTTAAGAACCAGCGAATATGTTTTGGGGTCGCTCAGCGCGAAAAATGAATCACGCGAAAATAACAGCGTTTACAATACATTTACCAAAGTTTTCCTTCGTTAAAACACAATTTTCATCTCATGACTCTCTCGCATGTACAATGTTTTGAAACAAATTAGTGAAAACTGTGACGTTTTGTTTATCTTCTGGTTAATACCTCATTTCTACAATTGAGCCTGGTCTTATGATTAAAAGGGATGCATTTAATTTGCATTGAACATTAGTCCCAAGTCACTTGCATATTGAATCATAATGCAATTACTGGAGAAATTGCGATCAATAATTGATAATCTCAAATCTTTAGCATAGTTCTGAGGAAGGTCTTTATGCAACAGTGTATTCTGTGGGTACAACCGGACTGAATAAAGAGGGATTTAGAAAGAGATAGATTACTACAAACGGGATGATAAAGAGGGATTGAGAAAGAGATAGATTACTTACAAGGAAGTTTGTAGTAGGGGAGATGGTGACTCTGTAGTGATGTAGTTTGGATGCATTGTTGGTATGTTGCTCACAGATTGGAACAGGTTTCTCTCCTGGGAAGATGTTATGCCTGATGCCTGACTTTTTCTGTTTGATGCTACATTTGCACAGAGGACCATCATTCATCTAGGAGTAGAGACAGTTAATACAAACATGTAAAGCACAACAACAACAACAATAAAACCATGATTCCCCCCCCCCCCCCTTAGTTGACAAGAAGACTTCATTAAAAACTATGGGAATAAATGACACAAGAATAATATGTACTGGTGAAAAACAATCATGTATCATCAATTCATCCCTGAGGATTACAAAAGGGGAAAGAGAATTTGGTAGCAACAGGTCAGGGGAAGAGAAAGGCCAGAAAAATAGAAAGAGGGAGAAATATTCAGAAAGAGAGAATCTGATATACATTTGTAAACAGGGTGAATATGGAGGAGAAATGAAGTGCAGAAAGGAGCGATACAAGAAAGTAGGCCTAATGTATTTCAAGATAGGAATATATTATTATATAATATGCAGAACAAGTGAGAGAAAAAAGGAAGCTTTCCAACAATAGAGAATAAGATATAAGAAAATGTATACACAATCATAAATAGAGAAAAGGAAAAAAAAAGTGTATACTACTACAATACATAAGGTCAAGATAGAAATAAGAGAGATAGATGGAAAAGAGAGACAGCAACATATATATATATATAGAGAGAGAGAGAGAGCAAAATATTGAGAAAGGGCACAGAGTGAATAAGGAAGACACAAGCCCCATTGTATTACTGGTAGCTACTTGCTCCCTCTATACAGCCAACAATGCCTAAGCGGTACCTGTTGATCCCCCATGATGCCCTTTTTCTTATGTTAATTGAGAGCTGAGTTGATGAGATAGCCACCTGTCAGTGACCACACTGGGTGGTCTAATCCCTCCTGGCCAAACTAGTAAAGACAGGCTTTAAAAGAAAGCTTAACAGATGGATATCACAAGAACTAACCTCTCCTGGTTGATTGAACCATAGATTCTCAGCCAGCCGCCATGGATGATTAGCTCTGTTCTCCAGACATGAGATGCGGAAATCATAATCTTTGTCCTCCTCGCCAGACGAGGTGTCCGAATCAGATTCACTATCGCTACTCTCGCTTGCTGAGTGGTGGCCATCTGGAAACGATAGGAACATCAAGAGAGATGAAGTGAGAGAGTGATCAGGGAGACAGCGATGGAAATAGAGAGAGTTGGATGGAACACCCTTATACCCCTTTCAAACTGGCCTGATTTTCATTGGACGCATCCGATGAAACAGCCACTATGAATGGTACAGAGGAGAAAAAGCCAATGAAAAGAAGAGAAATAGAGGATTAAATTCTCCTGCTCAAAAGCAGGAGAAATTCTCTTTCTATCGTTGTGACACCGATGAAACAGCCACTGTGAATGCGTTCGGGGGAAAACACTGATTAAAAGACCGATGAAAATGGTCAAAGGTCGCAGTGTACCTGCGCTTTTTCGTAACCAGCTGTGTTTATTGACTTTTTGTCGAACAAGCTGCATGCTAACTAGATTGGGCTCGGGCTTAATAATTGCACAATAATTCTTCACTTCCTGAAAGTGTTAGTTTGCCATGGCGAGTAAATTTCACCCGCAATATGAAAAGGACAGCAAGGAAAGCGGCGTTTCACCTCTGTTTACATAAGGAGAATTTAATCAGTATTTTCATCGGTATGACTTCAATAGATGCAATATGAAAGGGTATTAGTTCACATATGAAACAGTATCAAACATACGCTTCATAATTCTGTATGTCACATACAATACGTAGTAGGTACACATCTGACTTTTGTAGCTTAAAGCTACTTTTTTTAAATCTCTACTTGCCATTCATTTTACACATACTTACAAACATACATACACGCCCACACGCAAACCCAAACCCACACCAACACCCACACAAGCACCGAAACACACATATCAATACAAAAGGTTATGCTACCCGTTCATGCAGTTAGTCATTCACTGACTCTCTTATGTGTGAATTTGTTATCCTTATGAATGGGGTAGAGAGGGAGATTTCAAGTTTTACAAGAATGGACATTCAGGTGTCATGGACCAGTATGAAGAAAAATACAAATTACACAGAAAAGGGTGTTCTATAGATCTAGGAAATTCAAAAACTAAAATATTTTTTTTTGACATTTCACAAACAATTTACTCCATCAGTAAGCTGGCATAACATGTGCTGTAACATTTGGTACAAATTCATTTTTCTTTTTAAAGACAGATTTCATAACTTACGAGAATGGACGTGCCAATGGAGTTCTGGTTTCTTCTCCTCTGGCTGTGGCTGTTTGGCTCTGACACGAGGTCCTCGCTCAATGATTTCTGCCTCAAACCGTTTCAAGAGTTCCTTCAGTTTCTCAGTACCAGCTACAGAACTAGCACTCTATGATGAAACAAAAGGAAATAATAATAATAATAATAAATTACATTTATAAAGCACTGAATACAATTTTTCTAAGCGCTTAACAAAACAAGGGTACAATGTAAAATAAATATACAGCAATAATAATACATAATACAAATTAAAACATCTTACTCTAAACAAAACTGCCCTATAACTTACTATTACACAAAAAATATTTCCAAATTTCCTTGAAAGACTCTACAGATGGGGATTGACGAATACTGATTGGTAAACTGTTCCATAATTTAGGGGCTGCAGTAGCAAAGGTACGAAGGATATTAAGAAGTGATTGCACATAACAACTCACAACAAAGAAGTGTTATAATAATAATAATAATAATAATAATAATACATGAGATTTATATAGCGCCATTGGCGCTTATCATATGGTCAAAGTGCATAGTTCCCAAAGACAATGCGAACATAGAGAGCTAGCAAGAGAACTCTAAATGTACATGTAAGTCTGTAACTTCAGGACTGTCTCCACCCAAACAACTCTCCTTGGGATAATATGAGGCGACTTCACCGACTGCAGACCACGAGTAACCCCGGGTACCTTGCATGCCATACCAACAAATCGTGAAACTCTAATGAAATCGTACATTACATGGCTGCAAAGATTATAAGTTATGATTGCTATGCTCCATCAAAAGGCCAAGGAAAGACATCAAATACAAGAACAAATTCAAGCTTTAGCTAAACCTATGTTAGCCTCACTGTTATGCCTTAAAAATAATTGAAAAATTGAAGAAAAGTACATATCGAGGGACCAGTGACACAAAGATGTAACTCCATTTTGGCCATTTTGAGAAAAAGTGCTTTATGTGTCACTGAGCACTTGGGCCTTAAGGAGTTGAGTCTACGTGTCACTAGCCATCGACTTCAATGGGGGAGTTAAGTCTTTGTGTTTCCTGGAAAGCCCACATTTTTCTGAACATTTTGATATCAAATACTCATTTTGGCAAAATATGGAGTTACGTCTTTGTGTCACTGAACCCTCAATGTGGCAACTCACAATTTGATCACTGGGATTAATAGAGTAGAAGTTCTCTCTTGGGGAGCATTGGATCCAAGGGGTGTCATCTGTACCCCACTCCTCAGGGTCAGAATCTTCAAGGGGATCCTTATCCTCATCATTCTCCTCAAGTTCTTCCTCTCGCAGTTCTCTCTCCAGATCATTCCATCGCTGGCAGGTTTTGCTGGGATCTGTGATTTGCCTGTTGCAGGGGTACACAGAAGAGAATGGATAATGATTTCATTTCATTTCTTTTCATTTATTTAAACAAGGTAACCCTCTCAGCCTAAACAGCAGTTTTAACTGAATAAAAAATATACAAATTATATCACAAACAAAAACCAGTATTAAACAGAAGATAACAAAACATAAACATTTGCAAAATAAATGAATCAAATTCAGAAACACCAATTCCTTCCCCGACTTGGTTACCAGAGATGGCTCACTGAAGGGTAGTGAATACGTTCGAGACCTGGGTGTTTTAATCGACAAAAATCTTACTTTTCAACAGCACATTAAAAACGTATGTAAATCGGCATCTTTTGGAATCTTCAAAATTGGGAAAATTAGGAAACTACTTGACCGGCCAACAACTGCAAAATTAACCCATGCATTTGTATCCTCCCACCTTGATTATTGTAATTCAATTTTCTCTGGTCTTCCGCAATCGTCCCTACTTCCACTTCAAAGAATTCAGAATACTGCTGCAAGGCTTGTTACTCTCTCGAGAAAGTTTGAGCACATAACCCCAATATTGCGTTCTCTTCATTGGCTTCCCATACACCATCGTATCACATTCAAAGTTCTTCTTCTTACATACAAAATTCTCCATGGCCAAGCCCCTAAATATCTTTCAGATTTGATTTCCTTACGTTCTTCTAGTTCTTTAAGACCTCTTCGATCATCATCAACCTTGCAGTTAACCCTCGGACCTCGTACCGCTACAAAATATGGCGACCGAGCTTTCTCAGTAAATGCCCCTATCCTTTGGAACAAATTACCAGCGCACTTTCATAATATTCATTCTCTCGACCAATTCAAGTCCTTGCTGAAAACGCACCTTTTTAATTCATAAATAATATTCTGCAGTTGTGAGTCGGTCAAAGGAGGTGCACACCGTCTTATTTTTTGTTTGTTCGATCCTATGTTTGATCCTATGTTTGACCTCTTGTATGTATGTTTGTTTGATCTCACTCTTATCTTATTTTTTATTATTATATATGCATGATTTATTGAATAAAGAACAGATGTATAAGTTGTGTGTTTATTATAAGTTTTGGTAAATAATTGTTAAGTCAGAATATGGTGCGCTTATAAATATTGTTTATTATTATTATTATTATTATTAAATCAAAACAAAGGAAAACATAATTGGCATGGGTAACTATGAAGAATAAGAAAGAAAAAAAAACATGAAATTTTATAATGTACAAAATAAAAATTAACAATAATGAAGTAGATAATTAACAGAAGTTTATTGTAAACCAAGAGTTAATATCAGTAGTCTTAAACTAGATGATGGGTGAAGGATGGCAGAGTTAGTAACCACCATTTTACTTGGTGGAGACAATTATCATAATAATAATAATAATAGTGGGTTCTTGTATAGCGCTCATGTCAGTCAGATTTGACCCTCCTGGCGCTCCCGATTATTACCCTGGCTTTAGCACGAAACAATGGAGGATGACATGAAATAATATGGTTCACTAACCTTATATTAACTTTACGGCTCAATACAGATAACTCTGGGTCAGCTTCAATAGATCTCTGAAGCTCAGCGTATAACTCAGAGTCTTACGGTAACTCGTGAGTCCAAAGATCAAGTCTGCCGGCTGAAAGTACATGTAGTAGACAGTATCTGCACAGTCGCAGCTCAAGTTTCAGAATGGCCTGCTACGCTGGACATACCGGATCATTGCTACACGTCACACACCCTTAAGAGGGTGGCAACGGACGGACGCGTACGTGCATCCAAGATGCATACATAGTGTGTTAAGTACTGGGGCACTGGTGAGATATCCAGCGCCTTGTCACGCATATGTACTTAGTTACACGTCCACGAAAGTTACCCAGGCATATTAGCCAAGGGTATAAGGAGGGAATTGGCATTCTTTTACAACATTCCTCCAGGTTCATTAGATTGTCGCATATATCAAAGATATTGCGAAATCACAAAAACTCTCACATTAGAGCATAAGAAAAGAACCGGGGGAACCTGATATCCTAGACAGTCCTAGGGTATCAGACAGAATAAAAATTGACTTACATTCCGTTAATACAATCCATAATTTTGCGAGTACACTAAACTCCAAGGTTACCATCCAGTGCCCGAGTCTCATGCACACCGAGTTAAATTGATTTACACTCCAATACTACAATCCATAAATTTGCAAATACACTAAACTCTAGGTAACTGTCCAGTGACCGAGTCTAATGCACATTCCAGAACAAGAGAGTATTGGGAAAATTCTGTATTTATATGATAATCCTGTATTTATATTACAACGGATAATCCTGCCAAACTGTATTTATATAACAACGGAAAATCCTGTATTCATATAACAACGGAAAATCCTGTATTTATATAACAACAGAAAATTCTGTATTCATATAACAACGGAAAATCCTGTATTTATATAACAACGGAAAATCCTGTATTTATATAACAACGGATAATCCTGCCAAACTAATTCAAGGACACATCGTCCTAGGCCACTTCCCTAGAAAGCTACGAAAAAAATATTAATGACAAATAAAATTGTATAGCTGGTTAATAAGTTATTTCTTTAACTTCCATAAAAATGTGAAGAAATAATATTTCCAATACCAGCACTGCTTTATAAAATTTAGTAGAATAAAGCAATAATAATATAACAGGATTCTTTTAACAGGAATGAACTACTATATGGACTAGAGGCCTATCCATAAAGCCTCAGTCCATTTGCAAAGGAAGCCGACATCACTTCTGACAGAGGAACCCCTCGAATATCCGCCACCAATTGGCCTACATCGCCAAGAAAGTAAGGAGTATTATACTCCAACTCAGGATGGACCTTAAGGTGTGGGGAATCAGTCTCCAAAAGAAGACGATCCCCGCGGATCTCGCATACTGCGGCATATTGCTCTATGTTAAAGGTCTTTACAAGACCTGTGATACCAAAGTAGCAATGTGGGAAGGCGTTGGTCCATTCACGGACCAACCTGGTATCACCAGAGAAACAGTGTAAAAGGATCCTCTGGTTAACCATGCACTTCTCCCGCAGTGTCCTCAGGGCTATCTTGTGTACGACATTGCCCATGGGGTCGTCATCCATGCCTCGAAGATGCATAACCAGCACTTTCCCGAGGGTACCCAGATCCAGGAGGCGATCCAGGAGTTGCTCCTGATGCATCCACTGGTTCTGAGGCACTGAGAAGTCGAGCCCGACTTCACTCAGCGCAACCACTCGGGTGTGTGCTAGGTAGTGCATCAACAGGTCCCAGTGTTCGGATGTATACACTGAAGCCTTCTTTGGGTGGATTCCCACCGCATAACGCCACAGCGATCCCTCCTGAAAGTTCCCGAGCATCTGATCAAGCGAAGAGGTTGTAAAGGATTCTGGGTCACAGAAATTCCTAACTCCCCCCTCGACATTGACCAAATTGTCCGGAACCCTCCCCGGAGTCAGCGGGTTAGGATATCCCCTGGACCTGTATATAGAGGCTTGCATACGGTCCAGGTGATAGTGAGCATCAAAACCCCTATAGAACGATGTGGCAGTGGCTGTGTCGCTAAGTTCCTCCTCAGGTTGACCCTGGTCTGGCCGAAGCTCAGGTTGGGGAACCGGTGTTAGAACCTGTGAAACTGGATTGTGAGGTTCCACCTCAGGTTGACCCCGGTCTAGCCAAAGCTCAGGCTGGGGAACCGCCGCTGGAACCTGTGGAGCTGGTGTTACTGGCTGAACATCTCCTAAATCAATGAGTTGCCTTTGCTGATCATCAGAAAGAAGGTTCATCAGGAACACCAGGGGCCTAAAGTGAACCAACGCCGCTGGCGTGTTCACTGGTTGGAGAGATGGAACCACTCTCGACCAGTTTTGCTGATCCATCATGGCTCTCATCTCTAGCAGGTCAACCTCAGTTACATGAGGTCGCACTGCTTTCCAACCTGAGTTTACCAGCCTAACTAGTCCAAACTCATTAGCCCCCTCTCCAATCACAAACTGTGCAATAAGGCGCAGAGCAGCCAGCCGTAGTTGCAGCACTTCCTGAAATCCAGGACCAGAGTGAATCCTCTGCGTCCTGAAACATTTAGGTAGGTGGCGCAGGATATGCAGTCGTATCTTATGTGAGGTGCGAGTACATCCCACCATAGGACACACCTGGTGGTTCTTCTTGGGCAATATCCTGGAGCACTGCTCACTAAAAGACTTCCCAGTGTTAGAGGACAGACCAGACCAATAGCCGATACCACCCCTTCCCCGACCAACAGCAGGAAAACCACTGCTGGTGGCAACGGGGCGTGGCACATCCCGTTCCTGACCTACACCGGAACCGCAGGAATGCGGGTTCCTAGGTGAAGCCACCGGTACGGAACGCATTGGCGTTTTCCTGGCCTTCTTTTCATGCCACCACTTGAATTTCTTTGCCCTCTGCTCTCGAGCAGCCTTGGAAGCTTTGCTGGGCCCTACCCGAGACAGGGCCGCAGCTACCTTCTTTCTCTTTTTCTTGCGGGATCTCCTACTGACTTCAATTCCTTTAAAAGCGGAGAGAGGAACTACAGGTTCTGCGGGCGGCAGATCCGCTAGTTCCTCTAGTGACTGCGGTCCTACCATAGGCAGGCCCGCCATCATCGGCCCCAGTACTTCCTGTACAAGAAGAACCGCTGCCTCCTGAATTGGATCAGGGGCCTCTTGCTTTACTTCCTCCACATTTGTAGCAAGATCCGTCACATCCATTGCAACAGGTCCATCCCGAATACCTTCACTAACTCTGGTTTCAGGTGCATCTATCCTGTATGGGGGGAATACAAAGGTAAACACAAAAACAAAGGAAAAATAAACTACCCGCTCTGTTGTTTGCGGAATGGACAAAAATACTTGTTGATAGTCATTCCCTCTCCAGGGGTGATTCCAACACAATGGCCATGAAATCACTCGTCACAGCTATCACATTGAATCATGACTGACCGATCATCCTGCTTTTTACAAAAACAATATAATTCCTTCCCTTGAATAACCTTTACGGAAGAGCACTGTTGTCTGTGCATTTTTTAAAGTTTATCATGGTTCATCACCATTGCTTTGTTCGCATAAACCACTCTATAGAGATAGGGGGTATATCTCTTAATGATATCAGCAAGACCCTTCCAAGGAGACTGTAATTTCTTACTTTTTCCTTTAAAGCCCCAATGTACTACTTGTAGCTACATGTACTTGCTCATACATGCCAACATTTGAAAATCAGAAATCTGTACAAATTATGCTATTTTCAAAAAAAGAGGAACATTCCTAACTCTCCTATTCAATACTACAGACAAATTTGTACAGGAAGAGGAACACCTTCATTAAAATGATGATTATCTTCTCCCAAAAAGAGGAATGTTCCTCTTTAATCTGAACAGTTGGCATGTATGCTTGCTCCATATATATAGAAACAATGTCTAATTGGTGATCCTTTTTATCTTATGTTAATTGAGAGCTGAGTTGATGAGATAGCCACTTGTCAGTGACCACGCTGTGTGGTCTAATCCCCCTGCCAAACTAGTAAAGACGGCCTTTAAAGGGCCCATGACATCGAAATACAAGTGTATTCCTGTTGGTGTGCAGTCCTGCATACATCTCATATTTTGATATGTAAACTTCTGAATTTGTTTCATAAATTTTTTAATATTTTTAACAATATTTGTTTTTCAAACTAAATTGCTAAGCTCCACCCCAAAAACCTCCAGATCTCATTCCTCTTGTGTCATCAACTACAAAATAACTACTAATCAGCGATGTGCAGCAACAACTGCAGCTGAAACGCTAGACTATAGTATCCAGCGTAGAGTAATTCCTGGCCAGATTAAAATAATTCGATATAAAGCAACGCAACACGTCACAGTAAAATAAATCGAAAATACATAAAATGCCTGGGAACACCAGACTAGTGCGAATACTCAAGCGAGCTCGACACTATATGTAAACAAGACTGCTACACCTGGCGAGCCAATAATTTTTCAAAACAAAATGGCGGGCCCACGTTTCACAAATGTGAGCACGTGCGTCAAAAAAGAAACTGTAAAAATATGAATCTTAAGCTAGATGATGGATGAAGGATGGCAGAATTAGTATCCACCGGTTTACTTGGTGGAGACAATTATACGAAACAATGGAGGATGATATGAAATAATATGGTTCTCTATTACCTTATATCAACTTTACGGCTCGATACAGATAACTCTGGCTCAGCTTCAATTAAGGCTGTGCATAAGCGTGTAATGAGGTACCCGAGTACACTCCCAGGCTTACAGGCGAATACTTGAATAGTCGTACACGATTTTTGTTGGTTTTTTGATTTATTTGTTATTTATTTTTATTTTTATTTTGTTCCCACCATGATACTACGGTAGAAGAATCCCAGGTCCCTCTCCGAAAACTCACAGATTTTACTTCAAGTTGCAGTTGAAGGCTGCCGATTTAATAACAATAATAATAATAGTAACAATGCTGTTTTTAAAACCAAAGATGACAGACTAACTTTCCACCTAGTCCAAACAGAAATCCGGATATTTGGTCCCAGTTTCTGAGTGGTGAGTTGACAGTGATTGAGCTGGGAAACATTTTTACCCACGATACCATGATGGCGCTCTCCCAGGCACAGGTAAGCCTCAGCCTGGACAGGTGAACGGACAAAAAAAAAAAAAAAAAAATGGCGGCCAAGTATTCAAGTACTTGTCGCAGCCTTAGCTTCAATATATCTCTGAAGCTCAGCGTATAACTCGGAATCTTGTAAGGCTGTGCACAACAGTGTAATGAGGTACCCAAGTACACTCCCAGGCTCACAAGCGAATACTTGAATATTCGGACGCCATGTTTTTTTGAATTTTTTTGAATTTTTTTGAATTTTTTTGATTTTTTTTTAAAAATTTGATTTTTTTTTTTTTTTTTTTCTTCTTTTTTTGCCACTACCATACCACTTGGTAGTTTCTCAGGTCCCTCGCTGAAAACGCATGCGATTTTACTTTGAGTTGCAGCTGAAGGCGCCGATTTAATAAGAATAATAACAGTAAACAATGCTGTTTTAAAAACCAAAGATGGCAGAATAATCCATTTTCCTCCAAGTCCAAACAGAAATCTGGACATTTGGTCCCAGTTTCTGAAAGGTGAGTCTGACAGTGCTTGAGTTTGGAAACATTTTTACCGACGGTACCATGCCAGCGGCCGTCGCTCTCCCTGGCACGGGTAAGCTTGGGTCTGGACATTTTTTTTTTTTTTTTTTTTTGCGATCGAATATTCGGGTACGAGAAATCGTACCCGAGTAGTTGTCAACCGTGCGGGTACTCGAGCATTCGACTACCCGTCGTAGCCTTAGAATCTTGTGGTAACTCGTGAGTCCGAAGCTCAAGGCTGCCCGCTGATAGCAGTAGACGGTGTCTTCACAATAGCAGCTTTAGTTTCAGAATGGCCTGCTGCGCTGGACATACCGGATCGTAGCTACAGGCCGTACGCGTCCGTCCGTCGCCACCCTCTTGAGGGCATCCAAGATGCATAGATGGATACAAAGTGTATATAGTAGTGGCGCGCTGGGGGGATATCACCCGGCCTGGTCACACATGTACTTACGCGTCCACGAATGTTACCCAGGCCTATTAGCCGAGGGTATAAGGAGGGAAGTGGCATATTAAATGCCCTTTTACAACAATCTGTTTGTATCTGGGAAACACTCTATAAATAAACAAAATTATAATCAGGCAAATGGCTTATTTATGTGCACATTGTGCAGTCAATCTCTAATCACAAACAAGTATCACAAACTAATTCAATCTTTATAGTACACAATTAAAACTTACCCTTCAGGTTTCCTACTGCTATGCCTTTGCAATGATCCCTCTCTCTCCCTGGGTCTTTGATCCCTAGAAGGGCTTCGAGGTCTTTGATCCCTAGAAGGGCTTCGAGATCTTTTGCTATCCTGCAGGTCATGACCTTCGGCCCTCCTTGATTTAGACCTCTGAGGGCTGCTGCTCCTGTGTGAACCTCTTTCCCTTGAGGAACTCTCATGCCTGTATCAATAAAGAGAGAAAGAGAGAAAGTGAGATCATGGGAATAAATGTATTCATTGTGGCCATGTGCTAGCAACACCTCCTGCAGGTGGTGCATATATATATCACAAAGGGAATTGACTAGATTCAGACAACAGGTAGAGCCAGAAAGAACTGTATAGGCAGAGCTGCCAACCTTGTACGACCAAAAAAAGGAATCATGATGGCAAAAAAAAGGAATTTCAAGCAAAAAAAAGGAATTCATGAAAACAAAACTTACAACCATGCGCGACACACTTCCAATGCAGAAATGTTCATTCATCATGCTGTTTTTTCCATACAAGCAGGAGTTTTTTTTGGTGGTTATCTTGGTATTAACGGCATTTCATTCTTTTTGAGAATATTTTTCTTTTTCTTTTCAAGTACGTTCTAAATTTAGTTTGAATTTGTGATCAAATCACCATTTTAGGGCAGTTGTTTGATGTCTGGTATGTAAAAAAAAAAAAAAAAAAAAAAAAAAAAAATTAAAAAAATTAATAAAAACATATTTTATGATGAAACAAGGGAAACGCTCACGGCGGTCTCGCCTGCATAACGCAATTCAATATGATAAACCAGAACGTCAATGACGTAGCGCTCATCCGCATCTCGCAACAACAAATATCGTAAATTTTATGTGGTACACTTTTCAAAGCACCATGCTCTTTAAAATACACCACCAGCTAGTCAACATTTGTCTTCCTCACCTCATAACCAAAGCTACATACATCAGCAGAAGAGACCACACACTCAAGCTCTCTGTTCCTGAGGCAACAATCGACTCCTACAAGTACTCATTTTACCCCCGCACCATTCGCATCTGGAATCAACTACCATTCACTGCAGTTACTGCCCCAACAGTTGCTGCTTTCCAGATGACCGCCCTCCCTGTCATCAGAGGGTTGGAACCTCCTGTAGGTTCCAGAATGCTGTAAACCATATAGCAGCATGATTCTTTTTTTACTTGCACGTCACTATTTTACTGTATAAAGCAATTGTACACCCTTTTGTCTGCACCTTCACCTGCTGTCACAACACATCCCATCCCAGTATAGCTTGGAAAAGCTGCTTCAGGGATTACCTCATCAAGTATCAAGTATCAAGTATCAAGTATCAAATGAACTGGTCAAAAAATAAAAATTTGATGCCCTGGAAGGGACATAATTTCATTTCATTTGCATAAAGTACCATAAATAATCAATGGAGCAGAATCTCACAATTCTGTGTAGAAGTTTAGTGTTCCAAATTTAGCTCTGCCAGATAAGGCAAACCAAATCAAAATCGGTCAAGAAATGAGGGAAAAGAAGCAATTTTTGTTATTTTTTTAATAAATTTGCATAAATTACCATAATTAATTAATGGAGAACAATTTCAAAATTTTGTGTAGAAGTTTAGTGTACCAAAGTTAGCTCTACGATATTGTGCAAACCAAATCAAAATCAGTCGAGAAATGAAGGAGGAGAAGTCTTTTTTGTGATTTCGAATAAATTTGCATAAATTAGCATAGATAATGAATTTCAAGATTCTGTGTAGGAATTTTAAAATCCCCCTCCTAGCCCTATCATATTAAACAATCAGAATCAAAATCGGTTGAAAAAAAATGAAGAAGCATTTTGAAAATCTTGATGTTGATGCCACAACAAAGTCTAAGTTTGTTGACCTTAAATGACCTTTGACCTTAACTTAGTGACCTGAAATTCTACTCACATGATTGGGGAGACTTGATAACCCTATAGTCCAACTTTCATTGACTAAGAACTTATACTTTCAAAATTATATCAAAAATTTAAAAACTTAACCTTAGGTTAAGTTTTCCATGATGATGCTACAACATAGTCCAAGTCTGTTGACCTGAAATGACCTTTGACCTTGACTTTGTGATCTGAAATTCTACTCACATATTGGGGATACTTGATTACCCTATAGTCAAAGTTTCATTGACTAAGAACTTATACTTTAAAAATTATATCAAAAACTTAACCTTAGGTTAAGTTTTTGATGTTGACGCCGCCGCCGCCGCCGCCGTCGCCGTCGTCGCCGTCGTCGCCGCCGCCGTCACCGGAAAAGCGGCGTCTATGTCTCGCTTTTTGCTACGCAGGCGAGACAAAAACGTAGTACCGTAATTAGGAGGAAAAAACAGAGTAATTCCGCCAAAAACGGAATGGTTGGCAGCCCTGTATAGGTCTAGAAGTCAGTGCTCTGCTATCTTATAATAGAAATTTCGACCAGTGTGTAAAACAAGGTGTTTAAATTCATTACACATTATGATTTGAAGGCAAGTGTTTGTCGATTGGCAAACACAGACGTATGGATTACACTTCTATCCAAGTACCTAGATTATTGAGAGTTAGTGCCTTGTCCAATAACATTAATGCAGAGGGTGTTATGTTAGATGGAATCATGGAAAAAAGGCCACAAATATTTCTAAACAAAAATTATTAAAGAATTTATTGTATTCAGTATTCAGGCACAGGCAGATCTAAATACCTTCTAGGTGATCTGGATCTTTCTTTGCTGCTAGAACCACCTGTTGATTGGTCTCTCCTTGAGCTATTCTCTCTGGACGGACTTTTCTCCCTCGTTCTGCCTCTGTCTCCACGACGACCTTGTCTGGGAGATCGTGACCTCTCTCTCCTATAGTTTAGATAGCAAATTAACATAAATAAAAGCCATAAAGCATCTATAATCTTTGATAAACCATGAATGAGTACAATCTTGTTTACCACAGCAAAAAGAAATGTATAAAACAGTGAATCCATTTTATAGTTGACAAAAGGACTGGAAAAAATATGTATACAGATGCTTTTAGTGTGTATAAAACTTTCTTATAATATTGTGAAAAAAACTTAACCTTTAATCTTGCATTATCACTTTTGTATGCATTGAATATCTTCTATGTATCTCTTTTCATAAATATGCGTTTTACACATATGAGTGGGCCCATCTTTTTTTGTACTTAAATTTTTTTCAAAGACTGTACTATCTAATAGATTTTTCACTTTATGGAAACATGGGTTTAGGATTTCAAAAGAGCAACTGAGCTGTTCTACTTCAATACAAATTTACCTCGATGTTCTTTCCCTGGACCTGTCTCTTTGCCGACGAGAATGATCTCTGGAATCTGAACCTCTGCTGTCTCTAGCTAACTGATCTCTAGATGCGTCCTTTCCAAACCCTTCTCTGTCTCTTCGATTATGATCATCTGCAGGCCTTTTTCTATCACAGTCTGAAGATCTAGAGTCTGTGTATGTCTTTTGGTATTCCCCAAGATCTCTAAATCTTGGACCTTTTTCATCTGCACCATACCCCTGATGCCTTGAGGAGTCCTGTGGTCTTTGTGATCCCCTGTGATGTTCATGTGGAGAATCCAGGGAGGATGAGGCTTGCTGACTTGAGACTCTGTCTCTGAATGACGGAACGGCATCCGGTTGCAGAAATTGGTGGTCTTGATGAGAAGCACCCGGAACACACTGGTCTCTTGGCCCTTGAAGACCTTGGCCCGCCTGTCGATCCCCTGGATGATCGAATCCTGTTGGCGGTATCCCTGGGTTTCCTGGACGATTGCAGAAGTCCAATGGAGGTGGTGGCAAGTGGGGTGCATTAGGGAGTCTCTGGGTGTGAAATGGGGGTGGTGGTCTCATTCTAAAATCCCCTCCAGGGGGTGGAATTTGCATCCTAGGCCCAGGAGGTGGGCCATTCGGGAAGGGCAAATGGGGTGGTGGCCCTGTAAAGGGTGGTAACTGAGGTGGAGGCCTATGAGGGAAAGCTATGTCTCCTCTGCCTGGTGGAGGTCGGTCTCCATGCCAATTTGGAGGCACCTGTGTGGTAAAGAAAAGGGCATATTAATTTATGTATATAAACCCGTTGATTCAAGCATTAATTCTAGAATAAAACCTGACATTTGGAGAAACTATAGAGAAGGGTTATGATTGAATTGGAGGCAAATTCAAAGTGAATGGAAACTCACAAAGAAATGTCATATATATATATATAAGAGAACTCCCTGACCATTAAAATCAGTTAATCAATTATGATATAAAGAACAACATATCATTTCATTTGCTATATTTCTCTCCTATATGAAAATTATGAATAAATAACAAGAAACAGAAGAATCATGGCTCATGCACGCATAAATGTATTGTTCATCCTTGATCCAAATTGAGTGAATTGGCCTTACATATCATTTCAGCAGTTTGAAATGACATGAATCCACAAAGATGCATGCATTACCACTGACAATGTTCTTTTTTAAGAAAATATATTTTGTTGTTCTTCTTTCATAGGTCCCTCATATTTGAGCATCAAGTTTGTTCTGCACTAGTGACAATATAGCAACACAGGAATGACACTGAAAGTTTCTTACTCCAGATGGAGGAGGATACTGTCCTTGATGTCCAAACAAAGGTCCTTGGGATCCCGGATGAGGTCCTAAGGGTGGTCCTAAAGGTGGTCCTCTGGGTCTCTGGACCTGATTCTGACCAAAGCTCACAGGACCTGGTCCTCCTGGAGGGGGAGGCCTTGAGTAAGGTCCTAAGGAGAGCTGAGGGTTGTAGGGGGGCCTCTCAGGTCGTTGATCTGGTGGGGGATGCTGGGAGTGCATTATGATGTCATCAACAAGGCAAAGGTTAAGTCTTCAAAATCATGGGCCATGAACATGATATTATCTGCAAAATGATAATAGTTATAAACTTTTAATAATAATATTAGCAGTAACAATAATAATAGAAATAATAATGATAATACTAATGATAATGATAATAACAATAATAATAATAATAATAATAAAATTTAAATTATAGTGATTTAATAATAACAAGGAGAAGAAAAAGGAGGTGAAGAAGAAGGAGAAGGAGAAAAATCATGTATCTTTTCCCTAGATTCTATTATTCATGAATCATCTTGTTTTAACTTTTAAGTCTACTTTTACTAATAGTCTACATGTTAAAAACGAAATCGACCAGCGAAAACTCGGTCCCAAAAGTCATATCATATTCGAGACATTTAACAGGTGTTTACATGTGCACAACATGGTCAGATATGGATCAAGCACTCACAGCATCAGTACTATCATTCGATCAGTCACACACCTTAACAATTCAAAACACCCCTTCACAAAACTAAAACTAAAAAGTTTTTGAGTTAGGCACATTCATGGGGCACTAGAGGGCGCTTCGCGAGCGTACGAAAATCTGAATGGCCTTGCTGCGGTGGGTCGGCAATAATCAGCCCAAAACTTGGATATGGGAGGCTGGAAGGATATATCTTTTTTATAATGTTATCCGGTCTTACCCCTAACCATCCTATGTTTAATCTATGTAGCAATAACATGCGAGTATGATAAGAGAAACATCGGGCCCATTACTGATGCAACTTTTTAAATATTAGCCTAGAAATGACCACCAAACGGAAAAAAATGACATTTTTTTCCGACAAATCTTCATAAAATCTGAGTTATAAACAACTCACAACTAGGCTCGGTAATGCAAATACGATTTTCTGAAAATTCAGGTGTGATTTTTTAAGTTTCTTTCAAGTATATTTCTGCGCATCGCAGCGCAAATTTTCTTCACTGCTTCAAAATCACCCTTGAAAAATTTTTTTGCAACGAATTTGATACGGGGTCCGCGAGTGTTCCCCGTTCCTTGCGTGTTGAAAGTTTGGTAATACAAAGTTTGCATTGACTCGCGCACGAAAAAATGGCTCGAAAACAAATGTCAAAACGAGAAATAAACAAGCTTTTGTATAGTTATAAGAGATCTACCGAGGTTTCTTTGTCGATATAATTTATTATATAGTCTCAATTAGAATTCAGAATTATCTCACTGAAACCAACGATGTTCTCGATCGTAGTTATTTTCACTTTGCCAGCAGACGTTCTAGCGTGGTTTTGGCAAAAAGCTAGCCCGCCACCTTCCCACCTCGAACCTTTCGAGTTCCGCTAAAATTGTGCGCTGCGGAGCTCCGAGGGTGCGTTGGTATCGCTGGCAAACTCTCGGGCGGCTAGCTCCCCACGACGGACCATTCGCGTTATGGCGAGAGTGTGTGTGTGAGATACGATTTTGGATTCGAGAACGCACGTACCACAACCGTGCGCATCATTTTCAGCTGTCGAATGTCTACGACCAATTTTACATGTACGATTTTTAGTACAGATACTTGGTCAGTTTTCTTCTTATATCTTTGGTTTTACAACATTTAAAAATATAATTTCTTCAAATTTGCTCCCGACTCGGTTCAGACTAATTGTATGATGTGTTTTCAAGTCAATTTCTTGAATATATTTTTTTGCATGAATTTGCCAAGTAAAGGAGCCCGTTTTCAGCCACTTAAGACAAAATCCTATTTTTAGGACTCTTTACTTCCTATTTATTATCATTTCTTGTTCAAATCATGAAGCAAATATTATTATTATTTAAACAAAAAAAGAATCCCAGAAAAAAAATCACGAATTGCCATGACAATATTCATTTCAATTTTCACTGTTTTGGAGCCCGTTATCGGCCGAGCGTTTCAGTTTACGGCCGCATGTACAAAGCCAATAGGAAGCGCTCGTGCGCGCCGTGCCTTTCCGCGCTGATGTACAGCACAAGCGGGCGGAGCAGGTATCCCACGCCGGAGCTCCCTGGTGCTCGCCTGGCCGAAGACAGGCACAGCGGTGATCGGAAGTTGGAATCTGAATTAGACAGAGATATCGTGTGTGCGTCGCGGTGTGCGGCTGCATTGATTTAATACATGCGATGACATATTTTTGAGCTTGCGACTAGCACAAAATCGGGCTTTAAATCTGAAAAATACTTGAAATAAAGCTCATTTTATGGTACCCATATTTCTTACAGACACGCGTAAGATACTCGATTTTTCAGATTTGGGTAGCGGGACCGGCGATTACATCGCTAAAATGTGATATTTTAGGATATATTTTCCATTGCAAATGTGGTTCTTCAGTGACACTGGCATGGTATGGTATGTGTGGGATATGTGTTATGCTATTATGCGATGTATTTTAGAGTGATTTTACCTTGCATCCAACCAATCGGCCGAAAACTGGAGCTGGCCGATTACGGGCTCCTTTACTCTAGGTCTATTTGAGTGAATCGGTGTGTTGGTGACTAACTAAATCTGAAGTAGATCTAGTATTTAGAATTGCTCATTGTTGAGGTGTGTGACCAAATAATTTTGTACATATGAAGTATAGAATTGATGCTAAGATATGAGTGTACTTTAATTTTCAACTTGAGATTATAAAAAAATAGCTCAATCTCTAAACAATCATGCTAGAATCAACCAACATATTTATTTATATATGGGACAAGGATGAAGGATGTGAGGCATGTTTTCTAGACTAATGCAAGTTGAAGTTGGCTTGGAATATGGAGCGAATCTAAGTCATAAGATTACTATTTCTTTTCAAAATAATTTCAAGCACTACATCATTCGAAAATCAATCAATTCATATACAGTTCCTTTTCCTAAAATATTTTTCACGGCGAAATACTCACGTTATCTTATCCGTCTCTGCTCTGTCTCTGACTTCGAAAAGGAGCTTATGAATATTCATGCAACAGTATGCAGACAACTCGATTTGCCGCGACGGACAACGCGACCCTTTAGAAGCCGACCATCTACCCTGGATAGTTCGACCCTATGGTTGTCTCGGGTAGACGAGGGAGTGCAGGGGCTCGAAACAGACAACCCGCCAATTAAACTCTGCTTCTCAGGATACTATGAAATCATTTCATTATGAATTATATACAAGTAATGAAATATAATAATATTAATGCCATATCAATTGTAACAGAAAACACGATTCTTAGGGACTTTGATAGTGACTTTTTAATAGTCAAGATGATAGATGAAGGGATACATCAATCATCCTCTGAACAAGACAATTGGCTAATTAGCTTGAGTTGGGGGTAAAACAGCAACAATGAAAATAATACTGGCGAATAAACTATGAATATATTCTGATTTTGACATGATTTGGTATAAACTAAGGGTGCAACCTTTCCACATATATTAAAATGCCTCATGCCCTCTTCATTTTCATCGATCAGAGCCTTTTCCTTTGCAATAAATAACCTATTTAATTTATTGTAAGTACCCTATTTCAGGTATATGAAGTGCAAATTTTCACTTCTGATAAGGCCCCCGGCCCTTCTTTTCTGATAAGTGCTCCTTTTTTTTTATATCTCTGATGAGTGCCCCTTTTTACCTCTCAAGTGCCTTTTTTTATTTTGACACGGCGTACCCCATGTTCCTTTAAATAAGTATCCTTTTTCACGGTCCTCTTTCTTCTGATAAGTGCCTCTTTTCACTCTTTTAATATTGTAAAAGAGCCCCTTACCCTTTTCATAAATGCCCTTTGTCAACTTTGTTTCCTCTGATAAATGCCCTTATTAAAATATGATAAGTGCCTCTTATCTATTCTCGTAAATAGTGCATTTGTCATATCTGGTGAGTGTCCCTTTTCAGATGCGAGAAGTGCCCCATTTTCACTTCTGATAATGGCCCTTTTTACACGTGCTCGACTCTTCCCTTTTTTATTAAGCGCATTTTCCCTTATGATAAGTGCCCCTTTTCCTTTCCCCATAACATGAATCCCTAATCTAAGGCAACTAAGAGTAACTTTTTCTTTAATTCCCCCCTAAGCTCGATCTTCGCTCGCATCTATATATATGATATAATTATGTTAATTAAAAAAGGTATTTTCCGTCTTCCATGATAAGATTGTGCTTAAAACTAAATAAAACATTGTTTTTTTCCTCTTTTGAAGATGGAATTTTTGCACTGTGTCCTCACAAATCTTAATTTGTTTGGCCTGCTCACTTCCCTCGCACGCAAATGAATATTCAAACTTTTAACCCTATTGCAAATTGCGATGTTTAAGCAATACATTACCTTTACCTTTACCCGATTGAAAATTACGATGAGTTTAAGCAATACATTACCTTTACCCGAGATTCTGGAAGACCATGTTAAGAGAAAAACAAACATTGTAATCATCTCGGATAATGTAATCAAAAACTTCTTGATGTAATCGTATTGTACTATAATACCAATGTCTAAAAATTGTTATATTTTTGCTTGATTGCCCTTTTTTGTTGGTGCCCCACCCCCCTTTGAAAAACGCTCCAACACCTGCTCACTCGCCTCCCTCGCTCGCTCGCAAATGAATATTCAGTCAACCCAATCGCAAAGTATAATGTTTAACCAGTGTCTTGGACCATATATAAAGAGAGAAACAAATATTGAAATCATCCCTAATAATGTACGTAATCACAATGTATACCAATGTCTAAAGATTGTATATTTTTGTCTTGAGTTTTCCCTTTGTAGGCGCCCCTTTCCCACAGAAAGTGCCCTTATTTGTTGGTATTGATTGATAATTGTACTGGAAATGGTAAAGTAATCTTGAAGCCTTTGGTATATCCCTCAATATAACAACGTCACTGCAGGGTACGTAGAGATTTGTTTGTATTGTATAGAGTTAATTAGGGACAGATAGTATTCATTGTCTACTGAAATGCCTTTCCTGAATCGAATGTTTGAGGTGTACGTCATGACATGATCGGATGTAGTCAACGTTGATTAATGTGCTTGATCAGTTATGGCCTTTCAATGAATGAAGGGGTAAGAATCCGCAATTAAGAGGTCAGCATATAAATTACTCGATCGACTGCGACACATCATCAACATCATCATTTTTCTGTTTCTTGTCATGCTTTTGTCTTATGATATTAATGCGGTTATATTTGACCACTTTCATGGACATTATGAAATAACTGAAATTTCTTTTTATAAAATTATACATGAGATCAGTGGCGTACCTGGGGTACTCCGTCAGGGGGGTGGGGGGGCAAGCGACCAAAACAAACAAAAAAGGCGATGCTAATTTTCACTTCTGGCGAGCGAACGAGCAAAAAAAAATCTTTAAGTAACGTTTGGTATATAAACTGGTATTGTTGCAAGTTGGGGGTGGGAACATTCACTTGTTAGCGACGTTAATTTCATTTTTTGCAAACGAGTGTAGCGAGCAAGAAAAAAAATCACTTCTTTTTTAATAATTGCCACTTAAACTTGGTTCAATTGTCCCATGCAGGGCGCGGGAACAATATTGTGTTTAGGGTGATTTTATACCTATTTTAGCTAGCGAGCGAAAATACATCTTTCTCTCAATGAATTGCTATATAAAATTTGTTTCATTGTTGCAGGTAGGGGGCGGGCACAATCGTGTTTAAGGTAATGTCAATCCCATTTTGGCGAGCAGGCAACCCCCTACATTTCTCTTTTTAATGATATTGTAGCAGGTTAGTGGTGGGCACATAATTCCACGAGCTAGCGAGCGTAGCGAGCGAAAAAAAAAACAACTTTACTTTTATAGGGAAAATATGGTACATACAACTTGGGTTCATTGTTCCATGTCAGGGACGTGATTATTAGAAGCGGTGTTATTTCTATTTTGGCGAGCGAGCAAAAAAAAAATCACTTCTCTTTTATAGGGAAAATATGGTATACAAACTTGGGTTCATTGTTCCATGTCAGGGACGTGATTATTAAAAGCGGTGTTATTTCTATTTTGGCGAGCGAGCAAAATTTTTGTAATGATAATTGGTTCATAAATTTCAGATTTTTTTGTTGCAGGGCAGGGCTTACACAATCATGTCTAAAGTGATGTTAATTCCATTTTGGCAAGCACGAGCATACCAAAACTTCTTTGAATAACGTTTGGTACATAATTATTAACTGGGTTATTGCAGGTTGGGGCGGGCACGTTAGCGGTGTCAATTCCATTTTGGCGAGCGAGCATAGCGAGCAAGCAAAAAAAAAAAATTCTCTTTTAATAGAAATTAATAAATAAACTTGTTTTTATTGGTGCAGGTCAGGATGGACGCAATCGCGTTTAACGCGATTCAATTCCTTATTGGGGAGAGGGCGAAAAAAACTCTTCCATTTTTAATGATATTGTTGCAGGTCAAGGGTGGGCACAATTGTTTCCAAAGCAATATCTATTCATTTTATTCGCGAGCGAGTGTAGCGTGCGAGAAAAATGAATTAGTCTCTTTTAGTAACATTTGGTACATATATTGTGTGTTATTGTTGCCATGGTTGCAGGTCGGGGCCCGTCGGGGCAGGCACAATTGTATTCTAGGCAATACTAATCCTTTTCTTTTTTCAGGGGGACGAGCAAGTGAAAACATTTAATACAAAATAAGCTAGCAAGCAGTTCGCGCCAGCGAAGAGTTTCAAATTTGTTATATCACTTGTATTTTCCTATTTTCATTTGTTTTAATTTTTCAGGGCCGTATGCGGAATATTTTTCTGGTGGGGGAGGGGGAAAGATGCGTTAAAAGTTTTCGAAGAATCTCAAAAGCAAAAGGAGTGAAGGGAGTTCGAGCGACCGAACTGGTCATGAGGGTACTTTTGCATTTTCAAAAGTAGAATTAAAGGATTTGGTATAGGCCTACACTACATTTTCAGGAAAAAAACTGTACGTTTTCAAAATATCTGGGGTCAACTGCCCCCCCCCCCCCTCCCTGGTGCGTACGGCCATGGTCTTTAAAAAAAAAAAATCCCCATTTTTATTCCTTTCCTTTTATTTTCCCTTTTTCTTCCTTTTCTCTTCTTCTTCCTTTTTTCTTTCCTTTTTTTCCTTTTTTCTCTTTCTTTCCTTTTTTCTTTTTCTTACCTTTTTTCTTTTTCTTACCTTTTTTCTTTTTCTTTCCTTTTCCTTCCTTTTCTTTTCTTTCCCCTTTTTCTTTTTTACTCCTGGAGCCCGTCAGGGGGGGGGGGGCACTCTGCCCCCCTGCCCCCCCCATAGGTACGCTAGTGCATGAGATGATGAGAATGGTAAGCGCGTCGAGTAATCCGGTGTGACCGCACCGTTTGTCCTACCGGTTTCGTTTGTCCGTCGGACATAACATGCGGGTTTTCTGCTCGCATCGATCGTCCGTGACTCGCACGGAGGGACGATCCGTGCGGTTTGCTATCCGCACAGTCTGTCCTCATTTTGTTGTACGTGTATATTATTTTGATAAAAGGAAGCAACTCGGTAAATCATGTGGTAGACATTTTTTCTAGATATTACATAATAATAACTCTCTACAATTTTTTTAAAGCAAATGGGCCAGTCCTTTTGAAAGTAGAAGTGAATATTTTATTTAAAACCTTTATTCTATGAATATCGGCCCCAAAACTGTTGTAATCGATTATACTTTTGTACGTGGCTTCGTTCTTCAACCAACTCACTACTAGTATATACTCGTGATCCAGGAAAATAAAAGTGATTGAAAATGTGGTTGAAAGTGAGTGGGGGAGGCTAGAGTATTTAAGATAAGGTAGAGCGTAGCACAAATTGGCGGATGCTCAGGGTGTAGGGGCATTTAATTACGGTCAGATGAGCATATTTTCATACCTTATTCATGACACTAGCAGGTCAATAATTGGCGTATGGTCCAAGGGGTGGAGCCCCCGGAAGCGCAGGGGTTTTAGGCATTAAAATTACGGTCAGATGAGCATCCAGGGGCCAGCCTTAGGGCACAAGGTGGGATCAAGGGGGCAGAGCCCCCGGAAGCTCAGGGGTATGGGCATTTAATTACGGTCACATGAGCATACTTTCTTTTCTATTTCTTTCTATTTAATTATCTTTAATATACTTTTTCAAATGTGTGTGTGGGGGGGGGGGGGGGGGCTTGAGCCCCCAAGCCCGCCGTTCCACAGGTCCTGACAAGTATTGTTTTCCTGATCCGTATATAGGACAAGGCCCTGGGGCAGCTTGCCATGCATAATCCGATATTTGGGTCGTTTTCCGGTCAGAACTAGCCCTTACTGTCATTCCAGAATTTTGTTTCAGAACCTGAGACAAAGTTACCCAATCCCTTTAAGTTTCAAAAAGTAGACTTCATTGACAAGTACAAAGGCTTAGGGACCGGGGGGGGGGGGGCTTGGGGGGCTCAGATATCATTGAGCCCCGCAAAATATTTTGCGGGGCTTATAGATATCATTAAGCCCCCCAATTTGTCGGTGGGGCTTAGATATCATCGAGTCCTTAGGGGCTAAGATACCATTGAGCCCCCAATATTTAAGCGGTGCTCAGATATCATTGAGCCGCCCACGATACTTATTGCGGGGCTCGGATATCATTAAACCCCCCCCCCCCTCCTCCCCAATCATTATATTCTAGGCATGAAACTCATGTATACCTATAATCTACAGGCTTACCATTCAAATATAAACATTTTATAAATATTTATTTGGGGAGGAGGGGGGGGGGGGGCTCAGACATCGGATCTCGCATACCATTGACCCCCAAAAATATATTTGGTGGATCTCAGATAATTATCATTGAAACCCCCAAATATTTTGGCGGGACTCTGATATCATTGAGCGCCCCCCCCCATATTTTGGTGGGGCTCAGATATCTTTGAGCCCCCCCCCCTCCCATATGTTTGTGGGGCTCAGATATCACCCAATTGTTTTTTGTGGGGCTCGGATAACATCACGGAGCCCCCCGATATTTGTGTGGGGCTCGGATAACATCACGGAGCCCCCGATATTTTGTGAGAGGCTCGGATATCATTGAGCCCCCCCCCCCCCCCATATTTTGGCCGGGCTCGGTTATCATTATCATTATAGATTGGTGCACATCATTATGCTCGATCATCCTCTCATATCTGTTTGATTTCATTCCTCTTTTAGTCATCCTTTATTTGCTACCTATGATATTTGATAAATACCTATAATGGAAAATAAACCCTGGAGGTTTAAAGTTGTAAAGTCCAGGGCAGTTCAACACACGCAATCATGAAATAAGGATGTCTTCATCGAAGTGTCTCTGTAGGTTTGGAACCAAGCCCTGTGACTACCCGTTCAGGCCACTCTACATTCAGGGGCGTCGCTAAAGGGGGGGGGGGGTGTGGGGTTGAAGTCGGTGGGATTTTTGTTATGTCGGTCGGCCAGCAAGTTTTTCCCCTTCGAGCTGTGACTTTTTATCGGACAAAGAAACATTTTTGAAAATTCAGACAAGGATTTAGAGTCAGTACAATGAATAGTCTTCTTTTTCTAATAATTTAATGAAACGTTGAAGCTCCCGCACTTCGCGCGAGAGGGGGAGAAACTGAATTCAGACAATTAGGGTTAAGAGTAGAGAACGGTACACAACAAATCGTCTTCTTTCTATAATAACTTAATGAAACGTCTAAGCTTCCGCGCTGCGCGTGGGATGGGGAAACTGAATTCAGACAAGGATTAAGAGTCGAGAACGGTACAACAAATCGTCTTCTTTTCATAATAATTTAATGAAACGTCTAAGTTACCGCGCTTCGCGCGGGAGGCCTTTCACCAGGCCCCCCCCCAAGCTCCGCCATTTTGTCCGGATCCATTAGAAGCCAAAATAAGCTATCTTGCATAATTCATGAGCCTTATGAATAATGCATTCTGTAGGATGCTCCCCACGAAAAGTGTACTGGAATTATGTTCACTACATGGTAAAAGACAATACGCGTATCAGCGTAAATAGAGAGGTCAAATAATCTACTGTACGGAATTATGGGTAATTTATTCATAACGCTGCGCGCTAGCAACGCAAGTGATTCAGCGAATCAGCGTAGATTATTCTGATGCGTTAGGTGAAATACGCGCTCGAACTTGTATTATCGATCACCAGCATAACAGCTGGTGTACCCAGAATGCATCGGGAAGTGGACCTCTCGTTGTTGTGTTGTTGTTGTTTTTAATATGGGGGAGTGGCCTTAACTTCATTGAATAAGAAATACTGATCCGATCTTATTCCCTTTTTAGTCTATCAATAACTGGGTCTGTTTTTGTTTTATTAACTCAAACATGCTATAAGCCATATAACAACACATTCTCTGGCTATGATTATACATTTTAAATATGCTAATGTATAAAGTGTCCTTATTTTATACAAACAAATTATGTGGCAAAGAGGATGGTTTTTCTCCACCCACTCTCATCGTACCTTAATGATTCCCTTTCTCTCTCTTTCTCTGTCTTTCGTAAATTATCTTCTGCAACTAACGGTTTGTTGTCTTGACTGAACAACCTGTTGCAGTTCCTTTCTGTCTCACTTTCAGTCGTAATACCATTCATTTACATTTACTCGTTATCAACTACGATCAACCATTGATCCATATTCACTCCATTACTGTCCACATTTCACTTGGATTATCTTCACTTTTCCTTTTTGCAGCCTTTGCAGGAGCTTTGAACATTTTTAATGTAGAGACCAGAGAGATCGGAAAATATGTTGATCATTTTATTCGAATTGAAAATGGAAAGTGAAACATTGTTTTTCAACATCTTGACATATTTTTTGTTTAAAGACAATGGAATTTAACACTGGAAATTTTGAATTGGGGCGCCCCCCCCCCCCCTCCAAAAACAAAAAACAAAAAAAACAGAAGTGGTACCAGGGTTAGTTAGTTGGGAGGCCCATGTCCTTTATAATTTTATTTTTAGGAATAGTTTTCTCTTTTTTATCAATTTGACATTGGTATACCGTTAATTTCACTGGGAAAACCACCCCCTTCCCTTACACATCAATACTGCCATTACTTCTAGTAACAGTAATTCTATAATTCAAAACGTTTTCATTTTCTAAATCCTTCTAATATAAACATATAACAAATATAATATTGTTTACACTTTTGCAACCTGTTACATGGTCCATTTAGAAACAGCACCAGGAAGAGGATAACAAGCCCCCCCCCCCCCGTTTTCTTAAGCTAGGAAGTATCAAAACATGATTCTATTAAAATTAGCAGTTTGGATACAACAGGCAATGATGATTAGCAGTTTCCATATTTAGTCCATTTAGAGGGTTGTCTTTCAAACCTTCTTACATACAATACTTGAAGCAGCAATAATGTAATAATCTACAAAACTTCAAATACAGAAGTCCATAGACTGAGGTAAATGAATTTCAACATGTATAATTATAATTGAAATATCATTGATTGATTCAATCTTTGATATAGACTGATAGATCTTTATCACTCAAATTTCAAGGAAATTTCTTTCTGCCCAGCACTCAGTTTCATCCTATAAGATGGTAGTTGACATTCTTAAAATGTCATTAATGTTTATTCATTGATGATTAGTTATCTTTAATTATTTAAAAGTTGACAAGATGATAAATTCATTAGCTTTTTTTAATGTGGTATTCTACAAACATATAATACAAATAATAAATAAATAGTAAGTAAATATTCAAGTTTAAACCCATCTCTACTGTCCTCTTTCATTATATGAGGGGGCATCTTTAAGACGTAGTCCCATGTCTTCTGCATTCATCGATGAAGTTATAGGCTAGTTTTCAGAAGAAAGGGCTGTGATGATAACCCAAGTCTGTTGAATGGAAAAATGAAATAAGATACAGTGTATAAGAAAATAAACAACAACTAATAACATACACCCTGATACCAGCTCTGACAAAAAGAGGAAGGACTAATATTCACTTGGGGTTCTAGTGGGAAAACCTAAACTTTTTTTCCTACAAGACTAGTTACTGACCACATGTTAGATTATTTCTGATGATCCCATTATTAAGACAATAGGCCTGATGGAGCTTGGATCAGACAAGTATGAAATAAGTAATACTGGTACATGTACAATGTACTTGTAATTTAACTCGTGGTCATAAATGAATAGTACTCGGTTTACATAAAATGACCAAACAACTTGGAACAGAGAATGTACAGGAAATAATGCTATTGAAACATACGTTATGTAGACTTATGTAGACTTATATTTCATGTATATTCAGATTCAGATTCAGATTTTATTTCCGTTTCAAAACAAACAAAATATAAACAGACATAATATAATACAGTCAAATATAATATAAACAAAGCAAATTCAGTATTATGTAGAACAAAATTTAGTTGATAAGAAATATTGGGAAAAAACAGTACTGAACAATAGAAAAAAATGACCTTGATGAAGTAATTCAAAACGGAGGGGCTTGCTAAAAAAGCAGAGCTTGTATGAGGCAAGCCCCTCATATATTGACATTTTATATTGACATTTTAGTTTTAATCTAAATCACAATTGTGATATTCAGTCAAGTATTCTTTTACAAGTCAATGGACAATGAAAAATATAATTGTCAGATCTATAACTTTCTGCATGATAAATGTGTTCTACAATAGTTTATTGGGGGTACCTACATGGTATATTAGCACACTTGCTTGTATGAAGTGCAGTAGGCCCACATCTCTAGATATGATTCTGTCAATATCTGTTCTTTATTCCTCTCCTGGGTTTGTAATCAGCATGCTTTCATCATCCACTGTAGAGAAGCATCATCCTACATAAGAGAAAGCAATGTAAGTACTTCAATTAAAAAGTGATAATAATAGATACATATCAACCATAATTCATCGTATAAACAGACTTTCGTTAATCTTATGTTGTGTTCTTCTTCATCTTCATTGCTCAAGAAGTGAAAGGACCACTTACAAAAAAAAAGTAATGAGGGGTCCTGTGTATACCCTACATGTATGATCATTATCATTATTATGTAGTGCTTTGAATGTGCATTAGCAGGCGCGTAGCCACGGGGGGGCACGGGGGGGCACGTGCCCCCCCTAAAATTTCCAGGATCGGTTGAAATTTTGTAGACCCCTTTTTTTGACCTCGATCGATTACATGTATGTGCCCCCCCAAACATCAAACTCTGGCTACGCGCCTGTGCATTAGACATCGTTCTTCTACACACAGGACCTCCTGTAAATAAGGAAAAATCCCTTCGTAAACAAAGAAAGGGAAGAACTAGAATAAAATATTCCCTCCACTATACACACTTGAAACATACACTTAGTTCCATTTCCTTTTTAGTGAATTAATAAGTGGTGGTTTAATATTTGTGTGCTAAATATCCTGAAAATTTTACCTGCATGGGACTTTCAGCTTCATCTTGAAAATATAAGAAATGTTGTAATGTCTACTCATCATTTAACTCCTTCCAGCTCTTCATCAGTTTCCATCTGTTGGAACAAAAAGAAAACAATATCAATACGACAATCAAGGCGTCCCTTTCTCCTTAACAAAATAAAAATAGAGCTAGCATAAAAGCTATTTTTCATGTCATGGTTGGCCTTAATTTTAATATAGTGTGGAAATCAACATTCCAATTTAATGGACCACAGTACAAAGTAAAATCAAATGGAAGATTTAACTTGTGCCTCAAAAAGTGCTTTATATGGCCTATAAATATAAAGTAGTCTTAAGTAGAATTGGTTTATTAAGACAAGAAGAAGTGGACTTCATAAGTAAACATAATTGTGGACAAGGGGTCTTCTCTTACACAAATAGATTTATCAACATGAACTGCACAATTCAGAGAAGAAAAAAATCTCTAATATATTAAAAGTAATAACAGGAGTCAGAAGCGTACGCAGGGGGGGGGGGGGGGGGTTGGGGGGTTGGGGTAAACCCCCCTACCTTCAGTTTTTTTTTTATGTGTATGTTTTTCTGGAAACCCCCCCCCCCCCCCCATGCTTATTCAGTGGCTGGCTGAGTCATTGCGAAATTTTTGGTCCGATTTCAAAATGTTAACCCCCCCCCCCCCCTCCCCCTTGAAAAAATCCTGCGTACGCCACTGATAGGGGTCTAGATCTAGATCTAGTAGTAGGCCTAAGGTCAAGGTCTAGACTCTAAATGATAACTTGACAAGCATGCTGGACCCACACAAAATCTTATTATCAAATAAACAAATCCTAGTGTTGATGTTTTTTGAATACTTTTTATTAATAAGTTCCAGGTTTACATCTAAATGAAATAGGATTTGGAGTTGTTTGATTATCAATGGTCACAGATAATTTTGGTCTAAATAAAGTTGACACGGATGCAACTGAGCGAACGGACGGCACTGATAAGTAAAGCCATCAGAGTCAACATCTATTATTCTAGGCCCTACTAAAGATTTAACAAGAATTAATCCACTTGGATTATCAAAAAAATCATGCTTCAGAGATTATTGAAAGGTGTAACGTTAAATCTAGATTTAAATTAAATCGATGATTGGTGAATTAGATTCATGATGACGACCAAATCTGAAATAAAACTTGATTAGAAAATTTGAATGACTAAACTTCTAGACAAGGAAACATATTTCAGTAAATACATAGGACTGCTACAAAGCTACTGAACCGCAGAGCAGTGCACAGCGCAAGTTGAGCAATGCAGATGACGTATCATGACGTCATATAATCATGTTTATTCATGTTCATACGCTACCATAGAGATATATACTTAGTATATTAGTTCAACTCCGCTTCTGCATCCGTCTAGCCATGGGGAGATTTTGGAGGGTCAAAAGTGCACACTGCTTCCACTTTTCATGTATTAGCCTATGAAGACCACAAATTTTTAGTGCACCAGCGAAATGGGGATTTTGGACTGCGCGTAGCGCGCAAAATATTTAAATTAAAATTTTGAATATTCATGACTCTTTTCCACTTATTAGCATATTATCGCAATGAAAAAAAGACAATGCGCATGCGTTACTATATCGACATAATCCTTATGCAAGGGTCACTCTGTGGCCTGGACCCACCCTCCTCAGAGGTCGCCAAATATCGACGTCGACTCGACGCCTAAGCCTGACCCTGACCTATTTGTTGTTGTAGTAAAGTCCTAACGTTCGTTTTTCTTCATTGGGTGAAGCTTTACTATACAAATTGATGAAATGTGTGAAGCTTTGACGAGTAATTTGTTTTTTCTGGTGATGTGACATCGAATCCAATCGGTCGCCTTGTTTGTTCAGGTGATGTGACATCGAAGCCACTACCGGTCGCGTCGAAAATATGTCGAAATCATGTCGAAATCGTGCGTTTCAAAACAACTATTTAATTTTTATTCCGGTCACTCATGCACTCGCATGATTCATCAAAACCGTTTAGCATTTCTCGCTCCGGTTAACCGTTATTTGCATACATTTTGGAATGTGCTAATAGCCGATGATAAAGATAATCAAAGAAACCGCAGTGTAATATTACACCCTGGCCGCTGCGCGCTAGCTTTCTGGCAGCAGTTATCCCCATGAATGAATTTGTAAACAATAAAACAACCAGCCCCCTTCTCTCTTTTCTCACCCTCTTTATTCCCTTCTCTCTGCAATGTGTTCATCGCTCATGTACCTTTTCTTATTACTGCACTCTCAGCTCACAACTTTCTAAATGTTTACACATTCGATGGTCAGTTCCTCTCACATCCCTTCTCCCCCGAGTCTCTCTCTCTCTCTTTCAATATTAATATCCATCCCTTGCCGACTCGCCCCCTAAAATAATGTTCATATATAAATAAAATACAAAAATATTGATAACAATAATAATTGAAGTTTTAGAAATATCAATCAACAAAGTCTTGGATATTATTTGTGAGTAATTTAAGTTTTTGATCATTCTTCAATTCAGCCGATTAACACAGCCACCCTTTCTTACTTCGATCTTCACTCATGTCCCTGCCTCGTCCATGCTAGGGACATGCAGGGACATGCTAGCCCATATGCATGCTCTCTCAGTCACACACACATGTACACACAAACCTCCGGCGCCCAAATACACTGTACATACACACAGATGGAGAGCTCATGCTTGTCACATGCACACATGTGGGCGTGGCTTCTTGACCTCCCACTGAACTGGGTGCGCGTTTCCGTTTTACACCCTGCCCTAGGCTTTTCGGCAAGAAATTACACGAAACATGCTGTATCCGAAGTCTAAGTTTGTTTATATCGACGTCAAGAATAGCGAAGCCAAAGCTTATGTACAATTTCAATTGGGGATGCGAGGGTCTTCTTGTTCAAGACGGTTTTCCCGATATATTATTGTTTTGTTATCGCTGGGCTAAATTTTGCGAGCTGATCACGCATCCTCACGCTCTTAGAGTATTGCGTATTAATGGATAAAAATAAATGATACGACTAGGAAGATCAACTAGTATAGAGAGTTAGCTAGCGCTACGTGACGTTTTCAGAGTTCTGGGGGGTGTTTCACAAAGATCCTAAGTAGAACTTAACTCTAAGTTGGACTTAAAAATTATGGACAGCCATTGGAGTATTAAAATGAAATATATTCAAAAGCAAAAATTTAAGTATTTTAGACTTCTCATTCATTCCACATCAAGAACATGTCATCTCCTTGATAATAGAACATATTTATGATTTGAATCAGTATTTTATGCCTTTTAAAATAACTTTTACAAAATATTTTCAGAGATGCTAATGGCTTTCCATAATTTTTAAGTCCAACTTAGTGTTAAGTTCTACTTAGGATCTTTGTGAAACACCCCCCAGGTGGTGTGCAGAGCGCCGAGGCGTGTGTGTGTGTGTGTGCAGGGGCGTAGACAACGGGGGGGATGAGGGGGATGCATCCCCCCCACCTCACAAGGTGGGGGGGGGGGGGGATGGCATGTACAATCATCCCCCCCAGGTTTTGGGGAATGATATTTGCTTACTTAATAAGTTATAATGATGATAATAATAGTAATAATAATAATGATAACAATTATAAATAATAATAATAATTATGATGATGATAATAATAATCCTCATCATTATTGTAATTGTGTTTATTGTTATTAGCCGCATTCACAAGGTGAAAGCCAATTCAGACGGTAAGAAAAAGAAAATCTTACAAGTATTTTGTGGTTATCTTGTGGTTTGGAAACCACAAGATAACCACAAGATTAAACAGGCGCGGATCTACGGGGAGGTTTAGGGGGTTTAAACCCCCCCCCCCCTTGGGCGGCCCAAAAACAAACAAAAAAAAAAAAGGGAAAAAAAAAAAAAAAAAAAAAAAGAAAGAAAAAAGAACGCACGCTGGAGAGAAACCCTTTCAAGTGCAAATATTGTGAGAAGATATTCAACTCATCTGGTAACTTAACCAAACACATGATAACTCTGGATATAACTGTGTATTTAACTGTTACTTGATTTAAAAAGACGTTATCATGCACTGCTTTTTATGGTCTCCATCACTTACGGGGTTCAAATAAACACCCCCCAAAAAAATCGGCTCGCCGCTTCGCGGCTCGTGGACGATGCTCCGCATCGTCATTATTTTGGTCACCCCCCCCCCCTTAGCAAAAAGCTAGATCCGTCCCTGCGTCATCCCCCCCAGGTGTACAAACCTGTCTACGCCACTGTGTGTGTGTGTGTGTGTATTGGGTTTTTACAGACGTGTATCAATCAGATATGATTATTTACGTCTGGGACCGACCTTTAAACGTCACCATCCGAAAGACGTGACTCAGTTTCGAACCTGCGTCCTCGGCTGAATCAGTTTGTAACTTCCACTTTTTAGCTGGATTACAGGCGCACGCCACAACGCAAGATGTGGACGACTAGACTCCGAATACCAGTCGGTTTGTAAAATTTTATTGGAGAAAAGCCTAGGGCAGGGTGTAAAACGGAAACGCGCGAACTGGGTACGGTGAAAGCACGCGCGGTCACCAACCTGTAATTTATGCTGGTATCAAACTCCACCCACATAGCTAGAGAACCTTCCTGATTGGTCACTAACTTGGATCAGCTCATTGCAGGGTGTGTCTTGGGTGTGTGTGATACACACTTCCACATAATTTCATATGGCAATGATACATGCAGGGAGCTCTCTCCCTGACCATGTGCAAACATTGCATTGCAAAGGCATATATAAACACGTCACAGATCAGCTATCTTCACAGAGTAACTTTGCAAGGTTAATCATGATATCAAATTCAGATGAGGAATAATAAGACATGTTTTATGTTGTTTATTACTGGTCTCTGTTTATCAGGATGACCCAATTTGTGCCATAGTCCGGGGCTGGGAATGCTCAGCCCGACAGTCTGAAGACCAGCAGGGTTCCGAGCTACAGCACTATTAAAAATACTGTATTTTCACTTTTTCAGATTATTATTAAACGGTTAAACAAAACCGCCCGTATACTTTTAACGGTTAACCGTTTAGCACAAAAACCGTAATGACTCAGGCTTAGGTGAAACAGTGGTGAAGCTTG